CACTGCACCATCCATCCCAGGCTGCAGTGACAGTTGAGATTCTTGTATCCCCATATTTCCCTTTATTCCTCTCACCTTCCACAATCTCCTAGAGTTAATTAACACATAAAAACTGTGCGATTTCCTGTCCAGAAGCTTTTTCAAATAAGTCTTGGGATAGTACGTCATCTTCGGACAAGAAGGGACGATGAGGTGGCATGGATCTATCTCGCTCAACTGAGAATCAGCTGGCGATATTCTCGAATAAAGATGCGGAAGGCAATGACTCGTGATTGGCGCCCTGGCTACGCAGAGTGCCACGGATGCAGATCCCGGAAACCAGCCGAAAACCGTTGTCGCTAAGCTGAAACTTGGACTATCACGCGTACGTGCGCTATACCCTGTTGGATGACAGCAAAATGCATCTTTTGACACACAGACGATTTTGCCCGCAGGTCGGATGGTGCAGTGGTGAGCTTCCGGGTTAGTCTGTCGAACAGAGTCTAGTGAATACGGACATCTGTCTTGATTGAGGCAGAAAAAATCTCACTGACCTGATTCACGCTAGATCCGAGCACATTTCGCACGGTTACTGTTTGTTGTAAATCAGGCTATGTTTATATACTCGGTGTGTTTAGAGTAGATGCGATTTATCTTTAAGCCCAGCCTGACTTGACAGTGATATATGTAAGGGTACCCTAAGAAGTTATAATTCGTGTCGAGAATCAATAGAGGGAGCTGCGCTTATAGGCTCAAACGTCTTGATGGATAAAGTTTGTGATCAGTGGCGATTGAGGCAGCTCCTGACTCAGGTATAAATGGTATCTTGAGAGGGTCCTAAATGGAGAGCAATGTCTGGCTACACCATATAGTAAATGCAGATATCTGATCTCCTCGCGTCCAAACTGATCAAACTTCTGACCAATGCCCTAGACTAATCATTCAGGCCCATCAAGAAGTGAAAATTGTTTCATGAAGCAAAGTTTACCCATCTGGATTTGTGATTGTCAAAGATTTTGGACGATTGCTGCATACTATCTGCGAAGCTATGCAATTAATGCTGAAGTTTAATTGAGGTTTTATTTTAATTTTCACACATATTTACCGATTGTAGTGAATGGAATTGAAACTTCCCCTAAACAAACACTAAAAGAAAAGAGCTGACTGAGCTGAGTAGTAAATATACCTCAGAGCAGCACCTACGATTGGAAACTACTGCAAGGGGGTCTCATAGAGACTCGGAAATTTGAGCGCAAATGTGAAAAGGTGATATCAAGCAACCAAAACCAAGAGACAAAACGCATTAATCAAAGAAACCATAGCATCAGCCATTTTTTATCTTGCAGCTAGATAGGAAGTAATTTTGTGAGACCTGTCAAATCACAAAAAGAGAGACTGCTGGTCGTGTCGACGAGTTGTGATACGACCCAGGTGGACGAAAATCATATGTGGGCTCTCTTAGACGACGATCATACCCTCAATACACGCTACTCTCTCGATGCTCAGGAGTCTGAGAGCTTCTGAAACGCGAATAACATGCTCTAACACGTGACCTTGACATGATAGTATCACGATCGAAAGCAGCAGAGCTTTTTCAATGATCGATTGGGATTCCACGTAAATGAGACCGGCTCGCATTCGTGCTATGCTCCAAGTGGAAAATGGGAGAGAGCGATTGTTACTGTTTCAACCAACCGAAAATCTAGTACGGTTTAGGACACGTCCGTCCCCACGCACCGTGCATAATGCGTGTAAGTGGTCCACGTAAAGGGCCGCTGACACAGACATGCAAGCATTCCTGTCCTTCAGTAAATCTCAACGGGGCTAGGCGCTGGTCTTAGAGTGGAGTCTGCGTGGTTCCTGTTAATGCTGGCCTCGCGCCGTGGCTCCTTAGCAACATGGAAGCATAAAGAGTTTGCTGGTCAAAGGAGTTTGGGCCTTCTTTTGCCGGTCGCTTGACAATATGCGAGTGACTACAAGCTGAGATGAAGAGCGTGCTGTAGATTACCCTCCTAGTCCGGCGTAGTTGGCCATAAAATAAATGGCAGAGCAGTGCACCAAGATTGGAAGTCAGTCAATGTGTTTCTCCGCAACACGAGCGACGCTCAAGGCAAGACTGGTACCCATCACTGTTTAATGTCGCAATGGCCGTGAGCAAGCGAAAGAATCAAAATGCAGAGAATCTTCCCCGTGAGGAATGGACGATAGGAGATTCGGTGGAGGCGTCTTAGGCAACTGAGGGAGTGCCAGTGCGGGCAGAGCCATACAAATGGAGAAGAAGCTATTGCTGCGCAAATGTCCTACATATTATCGAGCTTGACGCACATACTTCGCCCACTGGCAGATAACGTAAAGCAAGCCCTGGTGGCCTGCCCAGCAGGCTGGGTCTTAGACGCAGTCGATGAGGTGGGTGGTCTTACAGGGCACTATCTGATATGCAGCTGTCGGCGAGGCAAAGTTAAAGTTCGGCCATTTGTTGGTGTCAGAGATTCGGAGGATGCTTCCTTGTTCTCGTGGTTACCGCTGCGAAGCTGCTGCCAGAAGAAAGTAGGCAGGAAGCGAAGAGAGGCTAATAGGCTAATAGATGGAATGAGCGATAATGGCTTTTCTGGATCAGCCACACTGGACGACAAGCGCTCCGAATCATGCAGGATCTGCGCCAAACCAACAGCGTCAAGGGTGTACGTCCGTAACTTGATTCTTACAAACTTGCTACGCGTCGCCATAGAGGCTTGAATCCGCCGTGTTGGCCTGATTTCGAATAAGGATCAAAGTCGCTCCCGCTGCACGAACTACGACGATGGTTAGATGTGTATAGCTTTTTCTACGAGTCGGATAAAGGCCGGCCTGCAGGGAGCGAGAGCAGGTCAGGGTAGAATTCACGTTTCCAACGATACCGGTGCTATTGCCTCTGGTAGCTAGCGCCGACGCGATTGGGTTTCGAGAGCTCGTTCCGATTGAGGCGACAAAGCGGCTCTGTAAGGAATACTTGCGCCTACCAAATGCGCTCGAGAGACGGAGATTAGGCTGTGGTGGACTACGCTGGAAGATTTACGAGTGTCAGCGGGCCGGTGTGCCACAGAGTGACGGGACGAAAATAAAAGCCTGACTGTGTACGAGCCCCGCAATGGTGATGGGAAGGGACCTCGTATTCTCACGGCGAGACAGATGTGGCCGTTCGACGGACGCGTTTCTGACCCCGCTTCCTTGGGCCTTCCTGGCCCAGAGCAGGGGCGGCGGGAGTTTGGATCTGGTGCTGCAGGGGAGGACGCTGATCCAAAGGGTAGACGACAAAGGGTCACGCACGACCAAGCATAGTCTGGAATCATCTCTGTGCACTACCTGCACGCGTCGCCCTAACTCCCTTGTGCCAGAAGCTCGCCAGCTGTCCATATGCGTCGGCCGGCCGATGATGCAGATAGCGACGCCCGTTGCGTTTGGCGTCGACGTTTAAGTCGCGGTGCGAAGAAACATGCCGTCGGGTCCCCGGCATCGGACATGCGAAGTTGGGCTGGTCGCGCACCACCTTTCGTCTCTGCTGTGATTTTCACTCATGCGCCGTGACTCTGTTCCGTGCCCGCTCATGGAATAGTGTCCGGCCTTCAGACAATAGACTTAATCCTGAGTATCACATGGAGAGCAGCCATCGCAGCCTTACACCGTGCTAGAGGCCTGGGTGGTCGGTTGTGGGGGTATGTAGAGATGAAGGAGAGGTCTCTGGCGAGATTATCGTCACTCTTACCAGTGTCGTCGTGTCCAAACGTCTAACTCACTCGGTGATGAACGGCGGGACCATGGGTACGGGGCCATAGTGGAGAATTTATGGGTACGTCGTGGCCAGGTGTGTGATCCACTGTGGCACAATCCATGCTGAGGGAACTTCTCGTTCGATCAAAACCTCGGCCCCAGTAAAAACTAGTGCGTACCATTGGTAGGCTGGGGTAGATTTCGAATTCGCGCCAAACTGACTTTCATTAGCTGGCTCTCTGGACTAGACCCGACTATTGCTTTCTGTCATATCTCGGCACGGTGACAACACTGACCGTCAGCAGATGTTCCAGGTGCGCAGATTCATCTATGCGGTATGCCTTCGCTCTCCGTTCCGCTTCATGGAATTGCTAGTGTTACGAGAAGGACTGGGTGAAGGGCCCAGCAAGCAACACCGGGGGACCAAGTCGAGGGGCGAGGTCAGTTATGGGCCAGCCGTTTCGCCACGACAAGACCATGTACGGAGAAGCAAGACGAATTTGAGACGGGTTTACCGACGACACGCTGCGAGGCATCTGGGTATACCAAGTGTGGCTCGTCAGGAAGACTTGAGAGAATAGTGGGAGGGTGAGCGCCGATAGGTAAGTTTAACGGTGCCGTCCATTTTCCGCTGTCTCCGCGACCGCGGCAAGGAGCGCGGCGGAGCACGAAATCTTCCGTCCCATCGTTGAAGCGGCTCGCCTCTTCCCACCGATCCGCGCCATATCGTCCTTAAGTCTGGAACTTCTCCCCGTTTACGCCTGCCGATCTCCATGCCACTCCCGACTTGAGGATTTGTGCGACGATACGCGTCGCGTCGGCCTACGTCTCCTGGGCGACCTACTCGCCGCCGTTCCGCGGAGATTTCGAGCTACTCATACCTTACGTTGCTAGATCCTGGCTCGTCATGCGCCGTATTGAAGCTTCGCCTGTTTAGAGAATTAATGCTTTGAGTTCCGGCGGAACAGCAAACATGAACCTATTCTCTTTGTCTACCGTCTAGCTGGAATTAGCGAACTGATAGCTTCATCTTAACTAGCATTCGTCCAGAGACACGACGGGGGAAACTCGATGCAGTGCCAATCGCTCGCCCTGACTTCATGCTCCATCCGACTCATGGAGCAAATGATGCAGAGACTTCGACAAAGCGGCGCCAACAAATCCCTTGTAGCCAGCGGGAGAAGCATCAGATGCACTTCGTCTCCTAATGCTCCGAGGACCACTCCACTCTCAAGGCTGGCCAGCCACGATATATCTTGAATTGAAAATATACCATGGGTATGGGGCCGTTTATGAGAACCGTAGCTATGGCTTGTGGCGAACCCCCAATGCCTGGTAAATAGCTCAGCTAGCTCGCCTATCCTATGAGCTAAAGTATAATGTACACCTGGACCACTGCAAAGGCTGACGTGATGGTGATCTTAGAAGAGGCTTGCTACTTTCCAGATTGATCGTGGTCCGCGACGCGGCTAGGTCCGCCGAAATATCTGACTAATGTATATCGATGAAGCTGAGACAACAGGATCAGGACCTCTCCTTCCCCGCGACCTCAGCAGCGTCATTGTGGTCGAGGGCGGCGATACCAGCTCCGTGTCGCCGCAGGGCCACGGCGTCTACTGCACCAAAGTCGACCCATGCCCGCCTTTTTTCTAAACCATGACGACTCCGGCTCCGCCCTCATTCAGCTCTAGCAGCAGCATCTCCCTTTCAGCCCGTGAGTCTGGGCTTGCGTCAAAGGCCAAGCAGGGAAACCGTCGCCGAGAGAGTTGGAAGAGTTGCCGCAAAGATCTAGTCGCAGAAGCAGCGGCCAGCCCCAAAGCCAGTGCCTGGGTCATGGAACGTACACATCTCGAGCTCCCGTAACATGCCCGATTTCTGGGCGCGCGCGACCCAAGCCCGTCATGTCACTTTCTTGTGGCTGTCCGGTTTCCGGGCAAGAGTAGTCGCAGTTCCCGACGCCGCAAGTGCTGGACAACTGCTGGATCGCTGGTGATGCCATGATTCCCACGAGCGGCGCTCCCGGCGGCTGAGCCTCAGGAAAACCTCTCGCCGGGCCATCCTCACCCGCTTTCCCGCGCCCCACTTCTTCTACGCCTTGCAGTAGCTGACCTGGAAAGCGCGCGTGCGCACGCGCGCTTAGCTGTCAGCGCCGCCCTAGCAATGCTTGACATCAAAGGCAGGGAAGCCAAAGTTAGCCTGGAGCTCAAGGCTTGGGAAAACTCTATCTCTATCTCACCTCCTCACGCCGCCCGCCAGCTTGTTGCTATACTATCCCAGGGAACGCGACCGTCAAATTGGGACCAGAGAATTTGCAGGCGCAGTCGCGTGATGACCGCTGGGTCCGACTTTGCCACTGAGCACGTTAAGGACGTAGAGCTAATTCGGAAAGGCTAGGACGGCTGGATCACGGTGGAGTAGTACTGTGGGTGGGTCCTAGTCCGGCCCACCCAATCGACTTGTGCGCGATCGACAACGGCGCTTGACGAACACGCGCAGCGTACCCCTTGACGCCTAGGGTGCCCTGGCCGTCAGGTCTCTCCTTCTTCTGCATCTCTTACGCCTTCGGTCTCCTCACCTTCTCCCCCCCCCCCGACACGGAAAATGTGCCCAAGACGTGCCAATGGACCACGCTGTTTTACCGTGCCCTCTCATATTCTGGGGTTTGGGGATCGCCGGCCCCTCCCGTAGATTTGTCGTCAGCAGTAATAATTAATAGTAATAACATTATTGATATTAACACCGCACTGTTACAGGCTTCAGAATAATTTCATGCCCAGAATCATAACACACGTGATTACGAGTCGAAGATATATTATTTCATGTATCATCATCACATCCTTGATTAACAATTCAGCCAAAACTTCCCCTTATCTACCTGGGTCGTGCTGGAACGCGGGGACATCAACAACTTAACTAACACTAAACCTTGGTCACATATCTGCCTCATCTGTTATCAGGATAGCTTACAAAAAGTTTGCCGACTTTATCTATATTACGATTCCTCTCAACCTCTTTCTATCTACAGTTTCTTCTATACATATTTCTACTTGTTACTACCATCTGTACATCGGCAAATAATATACGGCTGATAAGAGCAATTCGTCAAGGGGATCCATAGTCTCTAGTGACATACAAAATTAAAATGGACTCTCTTAATACCACCTGCATCAGCGGCGCCGAGCCTGTCAGACTTAATACCGATGGAACATGCAACCTAGGTTTCTTATGTAAGTCATAATACCTATCTCCTTGGCCAGAACCCTCTGCGCCACAAAAAATCTGTCAACGAATGAAAGCACTAGAGCTTGAGTCTAACTGTCACTCACAGGCCTGAACAGTACTATCGAGAACCCCCCAACCTTCTGTGCACCAACACCAGAATGTCTTGTTCACCGTTTGCAGTCAGTAGATAATGTATGTTACGAACCACAGGGAGACCACGAGCCTATCATTTGTGCACCAGGCTATTACTGTAGCCCCGGAGGGAAAACGGTTGAAAAATGTCCAAAAGGTCACTTTTGTTCTCTCGGCGCCGTCGAACCGACACCATGTGGCCCGGCATCAATATGCCCTTCTGGGGCCTGGAAGGAACTAGTTATGGATGGATTTATAGCTGTTATCGTGATCGACTTTGTCTTACTCGTCCTCATGATAAAACCTGTCATGGCGCTGGCCGCTACTTTGTTTCGAGTTTTAATGGGTGGCTCGCCCGCCTCCCGAGCATCGTCGACTTTAACCGTATCAGACATAGAAGAAGACGCTGGCAGGCCAGCATCTACTATTAATGACGACGAATACATATCAGAGAAAGATAGATTCTCTCGTTTTGCAGCTTCGGTTAAACGCTGTGTCGGGTCAGCTGATGTTGGAATGTCGTTCAGTTTTAAAAATGTATCTCGCACCCTGGAAAGTGGCAAGGAGATAGTAGCCCCTCAGACCGGTCATATTGAAAAGGGCACTTTATGGGGTGTCATGGGTGCATCAGGCGCTGGGAAGAGTAAGTTCATCATACACCAAGCTATGAATCATCTGTTTATGATGAGATCCATGAAATTACCCATGTTTTGCCAACTAACACTTCTTCCACAGCTAGCTTTGTTAATCTTATAATGGGCAAGACAGAACAGACTGATGGAGAGATATTTGTGAACCGGGTGCCATGTCGTATTTCGAAGTAAGTTGTAACATGATATTCTGCCTTCATAAACAATTAACTTTGGCAGATTCAAACGTTTAATTGGATACGTTCCGCAAGACGATGTTCTCATGGCAGAGCTAACCGTCAGAGAGAATATCATGCACAGCGCTCGGATCCGGTTACCATCAACTTGGACTGATACAGAATGTACTGTACATGTGGACACTTTAATTTCTTGTCTCGGCCTTTCTCACGTGCAGAATAATGTGGTCGGTGATGCAGTAGAATCTTATATTTCTGGTGGACAGCGAAAACGAGTCAGTATAGGTATGGAGCTAGCAGCAGCTCCTTTAGCCTTGTTCTTAGATGAGCCAACGTCAGGACTCGATTCAACCTCGGCTCTCTCTATTGTACGCCTCCTCAAAACGCTTTCACAATTAGGTGTAACGATAATTTGCATCATCCACCAGCCACGGCTAGAAATCCTAGAAATTCTAGATGGCATTCATCTTCTTGGTCGAGGACGCCAGCTTTATCACGGAAAAATTAGCGATGTAGCCAGCCACTTCGAGAGCATGGGATTCGATATTTCAGGCCGGTCAAATATAGCTGACGCAATTATGGACATTATTTCCGACAATTCGACCATACTTGATCGGGCGGGTCGTCATGTTGATCTCAAGGATATGGCAGAGACCTGGTGTAGTAAAAATCCTTTACCAATAGAAGTTCCCTCCGAAAAGAACACACCCGATTCTCAGGCTGAATTAGAAGCGTTAACGCAATCGGCTGCAAGCAGGGGCGCACTATGGCACAAACAAGCCTCTTTATGCTTTACGCGGTCTATCAAGCAACAGTGGCAGCAGAAAAAAAGCTTTGCTCTTGAAATAGGTGTGGGCGCGACAGCCGGCTTACTTATCGGATTGTCTCTGTACCCAACTAATGGAATTCATTTCCAGGGCATTTACAAAGCACCATTTGAACTTCTCTCTAGCGCAGTCACTTACTCTCTTGTACCCCAGATCGGTCTCTTTTGTTGTTTGTCCATCAGTAGGTTTCCTACATACACAAACACTGATTAATAACTAACCACAATGTGAAGGTCTTGCGGCTGCCGCTCCTGGTGTCAAGATTTTTGGCGAAGAGAGTAAGTTCAAGTCCAAATTTTAATAAACCCAGAAGCTCATTATAACAGAACAAATTTACTGGCGAGAAGCTAGCGCTGGTCATTCTAGATCAGCATATTATGTTGGAAAAGTGATATCGACACTTCCTCGTATATCCATCTCCGCAATACACTACACAGCCTTCTTCTATATCCTTGCCACCCCGCTCATGAATTTCTGGAGGGCCTATGTTGTCAATCTGATGTATTTTTACTGTAAGCTATAAATCTTATCTTGTGTATCTTGAATTTAACGCTTGAAACAGGTATATACGGACTAGCTTCGATCACTTCTATGTTGGTCAGACGCGAAGACGGTCCACTGATGGCTATGATAGTAAGCTTGATTATCAGTGTTTTCAGTGGTTACGGCCCACCTTTAAGCTCAGTTGAAATGTGGCATATGTCGTGGTTCTGGCGCTCTTGTCCTGGGGTTTGTTATTCTACCCTTTCCATAAAACTCAACTAACCAGAGCAGGTTTGGTATACAGAAGCTCTTTACGACCAGAATCTTAGACCTCTAGAATATCTTTACGACATACGCGCAGCTGAGCTGTCTACAAGATTCGTTCGCGGAAGATTCGGTGTTGATGTTATGTACGTGATCACATTTATTTCAATATGTGACCCATATTTGGGAATAAATCCTCACGTGTATACCACTGCTAACTTATGAAATATTAGATTACTCGCTATTATCGGCTCTATATACCGTGTATTTGCCTATTTTGGGCTCACTCTTTTGGACAGACATAAGCAGCGATAATCTTTACTCTGTAATATTTCCTTTGTAGCAATTTTAGCATCTGCAGATATTTTTTAAATCTTAATCCTATTTATGAATTCAACTCCAAATTCTAGAATATTAACTCCTCCCATTGCCGGGCGGAGGCCATCAGATCACTATCATTCATCTGTGTGATTGTTGAGTAGTATGTCACTGAATCGGTGAATCGAAATTTACACTCTCAGGAAAATGTTACGAAAATTTCGAGCTTAAATTAAATTCCCGTGCAGACGTTAACTTATTCATTTTCGATTGTCTTGTCAGCCCTACAGTGCACCTGACAAGTCCGAGATTAGATTGATTTATCGCGGCGTAAAAGTTTTTTGATGGAACTTTTGTTTAGCGAACTAACCGAATTCACAACCACATTTAGTCCTGACGTAGGTAAATTATCAACCGACAACCAAAATGCTTGGACAGGGAAACCAGCTGTCTACGAAATGAAACGAAACCGATGATCCTGATTCTGGTTATGCCCCTGCTCGATGTCATAAAAATTTGCTTTCGTGATATGGTCTGCGTGTCGGACTATTGTCGCTCTGCAGCGTTAGGTCAATGAGGGAGACCAACAGTTGTAAAATAATGGTAGCCCAGCGAACGCTATGATGTCAACATTTGGCCGCCCCTGGCTCTCATGTCGCTTAGGATTCGACTCCAGAACGAGCCTTGATTTCAAATATAGTTAGCGCTAGGGAGTGGGCCTGACTCACAGGGTATATGTGGAGCAACTTTTTTGCAAGGTGATATGCTTATTATGTCATCTGACAAGGGCATGGCTCGACAGAGAGAAATACCGCGTTACCTACACGTCAAGCCCTGGACAATTTTCCACGGGCGGCAGGTGAGAGCGTCAAACCATACTTAAATCGGCGAGTTTTCCCCTTACTCTTCCTGGCTTGTCGTTAACGACAGCAAATTACACAAAATTTCGCAGCTTACGTGTCTCAAAATTAGACAGCATGCCTTCCGAAAAGCCTCAGAAGCCTGCTACATGCGCATCTCCGACGGAAGTTATCACGCATCCCGCGTATTGTGCTGGTGATAACTAGGATTACAATACACAAGGGTAGTAGTCACTTAGAGTGAAGACAAAATTTTCCAGGTGATTCCTTGATAAGTAGAGCAACAATGGAGCTCTGTATTGAATTGATTCTAGATCTTATAGGCAGGTGGAGGATTGTAGAATATTCCGTGACACAGATTTGGGAAAATGAGGGGAGAGTCTAGCCACCTTAGATGTGTGAAAAGAAGCGTTTTCTACCTCGCGAATCAACATCTTTCTAAGTGTCAAAATATCAGCGGTTCACATTGATTTATGGGGGAACTATTCTCAACACCTGTCAGTGGTGTCCCTACGAACCTCCAGCTCTCATTGTAGAGTCTGCAGAGCCGAGATTGAGTAACACCTTATCTACTTTGAGCTGAGTTATCTCCCCCTCCGTCAAAGATACGCTTCCAACAACTCATAAGACGACCAAGACGACGATAGTGATGCTGGGAATGAGAAAAGATAATCCCGTACAAAACGCTACAATGGTAGTCAGAGAAGCCCTCGTCATATTGCAACAATTGCTACCCACCGGCGGGCGAACAAAAAGCCCATGAAGGCAAAGTAAAAGACCCCCCCGCCCTCAAAAAGTTAGATTTCGACTCGTTTATAATATCGTCCCTACTCATCTTAACTTCCGAATCTACTAGCCAGGAGGGCATCTGAAATACATGAGTTACTCGACGACCCCACGTCCGTAACGACTTTTGGATGCTAGGCTAGGCTCCTTCACGACTGTCACTCTCGACCAAGACTTTTCTGACATCCTTTCACGACCTTCGGTTTGTCCTGCAGCATGAATCAAGGGAGGAGTAAGGAGGAGGCTAGGAAGGTTGAGAGACACTCTTAGGTATAGACAGGTCTGCTGCGCCCGGCTGGCCGGCCTCTTCGTCATAGGAGAGCCCCGCACCCAGTGGTTTTTGAGACTTTTCCCTGTAGCTACACACCCGCAAATGGCCATCGTTTCGTTGGCTGGAGAGGGAAGATAATGACGGGATAACGGTCCTTCTTAGTGTGTACTCGAATGAAGACCTGTGGGGGTATTACTGCTGGAAAGAAGTCGTGAAGGAGGCAAAGGAGGGAGTATACTACCCGAGGCATAGATACTCTCGACCTGTAAGCAGAAAGGACCTACATGTCCTTACATAGTCATAGACTTTATAAGACAGTAAACAAATACAAATTGATTGATAATTGATCAACCCTAAACCTTCTGCCGATAAATCCTCCGTAAACTCTCACCCTCACAACACTGCCAAGCTTCAAAGACCTCAGCAATAACAACAACAATCCCCGTTCGAGGTTTCTCTAGCTCCAAATATGCGCCCGTCGCCATGCAAATCGAACATAAGCAGGGGTCAACTATGAATTCACCACCTCATGCGCCTTTGTGTATTTTTAACGGACTATGTTAGTCTCTGACTTGCTACCACATTGGGCTTCTCTCTGACCCAGGCCACACCTTGTACAGTGCTCCTATCCTCTTCTGTTACTTGAAAGATCATTGATATATTCCCCTTGATGAATAGCCATTCAGCTCACTGTTTACCCGTGGAATTCAGCCGCCTTTTCCACGAAAACTTTTACCAAAAAATAAAAATGTAGCAACGGAGACTGTGTGCGCGGGAAAAAGTCTCAAAAAACCTGCAGCCCCAGCCAGACGAGGCCTAGACACCGGGACCACATGAGGTGCGCATATTCATCTATATGTCCCTTCTTTGTAACAGCCGAGGCCGACTTGATCCAATCCACCATCTCCGTATCGGGTGCTGGGTACGCTCCGGAAACTTATCGGATGGCTTCTCCATGACCTAGAAAAGTGGATATAGGTATAATTTCAACCCTGCCATCTGATCTGATCATGGTTAGTTCCATGATGATGGTTCTGGGGAGATATGCTGAGATATGAAGACTACACAGAACGCGAGTTCTATTAGGAATTCTCAGCGAAGCAAGGACGGTGCTACTAAATCTCGGCTCTGCATACTCTGCAGTGAGAGCTAGAGGATCGTAGGGGATATCGCTGATAGGTGGTGAGTCTTCATTCCCTTGGTGCACATTCAGCACAGGACGTAATCCAACACCTTACAGCGGCTATGTAGGACGATAAACTCCTATATGGCTTACTTTTTGTTTGACTGCGGCTTCTCGTCGAAAATGAAAACGGGAGGAATGGTCGAGGTTTTCCCTCGGCCAATGACTTCAAAGTTATAGTAAACACGCTCCTACCCATCCAAACCGACACAGCTAGCTTGCTCGAACGTAGGTATCAGAAAAAGCCTAGCACTAGTTGGTCACAACATAAATTTCGAGGATCATAAACTCTAGACACTCTTCATGCGTCCTATGTCCCTATGGGGTCGTGGTATGACTAATATCAGACTATAAATAACACACGCTCTCTCTCTCTTCCTCTCAGCGGCCATGAAAAATGATATCGCTGCATCGTTTTGGCATGGCAAAACACTGAAGCGAAAACCCCATGGGCTTTCTCTTCAGCTATGACAGCTTGCTTTCAAGCCTTTACATTGGGTAGTGCCATCTGGATTATCTCTGGCCTTACAGTCTACGAGGACTTTATACCTGCTTCACAACCCAATGCCAGTGAAAAGTCTGGCTCTCTGTCTGCTACATCAATTATCTTATGCTACATTAATGGGGTGAAGATAGGCTCATCTACCCCAAACTAATCATCTAAAGTCGCTAGAAATATACACATACGGTAGTAAAACTCAGGCTCGATTCGAGAGGCATGGTCCACCCAGCACCAAACCATCCCTCATGACGCGGAGACTCTCTTATCGTCCACTCGAACCTAATAAGCGGGGAGCAAAGACTTAAGATCTGTCCGAAGTATCTTCTACCAACCTAGAAGTGAAATATTATCTCAGGGCCAAGTTCAGTTAGATTTCGCAATATCGAACAAGTTGGCCCACGAGGCAATGATTCAAGTCTCTACTCCAGATCGATCTCTCTCCCCCAAAGACATGGATTCTCGTAAAAGCCTCATTTCAATAATTGCAGCTCTCGTCAAATGACCTTCATGTACACGCCTTCAATATTGTGAGAACACACAGGAGACCCAAAATTGGGGTGCATAGATATGGAAGGCAACTCTATAGCTGAATACACATTTAATAAATTAAATGAAAAAATTCAAAGTTGGGTACAATTCCAAAAGGGGTTAGGGTTCGAATTTTGGGCACAGGGTTTAAAAATTGATGAGCAGTTTGCCTGACCACGCTTGCTCTATGAATGTGAAAGCGAAACCGCTTAGACCGCCATGGATGGATGGTGTAGTGGTACATCATTTGGGCCTGTTTACCACTTAGAGTCCACAAAACTTGGATACCTATTTCAGTTGAGGGAGAAGATAACTGGATCGAATCCGGGAATGTTCAACTATATTTCTGACGTTACTAATGTACATCATTTGAGAAGATATACTTGGATGACTAATGGGTTCGCGACTTCGCCTTGGTGGGTATTCTCCAAGGAAGGTCGACTATTTGTGAAATCAAGCAAACTATATAGTACTCTATGCGAATGAAATACACAGAAGGAGCGTCTTGGGGTTGGATGAGTCATTCACCATGCCAATGTAGCAGTGATCATACCTCACAGCTAGACAGCTGAACTCACACTAGATGAAAAAAAGAAACGGAGAAGTCTTTTGGAACGTTCACAGCCAATTAAAGTTATCGGTTTAGTTCCATCTGATATTTTTTCGTCGCTCCTTAACTAGGGAAGGCTCTAGAACTACTTCAAGCAACCGTAACTCTACAACCCATGATAGGGATTGCTGATGAAATTAGACTCGATGCAATATTATAACAACAAAATAAGACAGTTTAGAAGATATAAATTTTGTAGTTTATCTAACAACCATTAAAATTTAGGACTCATCTACAAATTCACGGGCCATAATCCA